AAAATAATATTTAGTTAAAATAAAAGAAAAAAATAAAAGACATTCATATTTTTTTAATCATATACATATCTATCATTTATTTTTGAATTACGTATAATGTTTTATCTTCTTTATGAAAATTTTTTTATCGTTCTTTAATTTTGAAAAGAAAAATTTCTTGATTTGTTCTTTCGAACTATTCCTAGAGCTTGTTATATATTTTTTAAATCATAACATATAATATTTAAAATATAATTTGAGAGTAAAAATAAAGAGATCAATCTTCATATAATTACTGACACTTGCATTAATGATTTATTCTTGCTTAATAATACACAAATGATATTATCTTATATAAAAAGTTGTATGCATATGTCACTTAGAAAAATAAACAAAGGAGGTTAGTATTCACTTAAAAATTAAAAGAAAGGTGTGTGTAATTAAAAAGACCTCAAAAGAGTTCAATGCAATTTTTCCTTGCTTATATTATTATAGTTTTGACAAAATAAAATTGATTAAATTTAAAAATAAAACTTAGTTACTATCTCAACCCAAAATATTCGGTGAGTGTTTGGAGTCTTTTGAACTTACATATATTAGTTTCATCTAGATAAGGATCCCTTGTTTATTGTCTCAATCCTGCGTATTGTGTCGTTCTTTTAATGCTATTAATAACCCATGAATCTTAATCATTATGGTCTTATCATAATCATTTCGTAAATCACAAACATCCCGCTAGCTATTGTTTAAGGCCTCATGGTCAAGATAAATAACTCAGAAATAATATGAGAGTTTGCTCTAATATCACTAGTGCAAAAATTGGATTTAAAATCTGAGTTTTAAGATCGGTTACCTTACAAGGTAACCGATCTTAAAAGTGACGCGGTGACAATTTTGTAAATAACATGAACACTTTTAAGATCGGTTAAAATTTAACCGATCTTCATAAAATAACCGATCTTAAAAGTACTTTTAAGATCGGTTATTTTATGACCGATTTAAAAAGTGTTACTTTTAAAATCAGTTATTTCAGAACCGATTTTGTATGTAGTATACAAAATCGGTTTTTCAATAACCGATTTTAAAAGTATCGTTAGATATCTTTTATATTCCCCTCCATTCTCATTCTCTTTAATCTTTCCTTCCAATCCTTTTATTAATCTCTAACGCTCTCATTTTTTAAAGTCTCCAATAAGGTAAATTTTATTGTCGTTTTTGTTTTCATTTTCGTCTTCTCATGTTCTTCTTGTGTCTCTTTTCGTTTTCTCATGTTTTTCTCGTCTATTTTCGTTGTAGGTTCAGTTTTAGTAAATCTCGAACCTGGAACGGGCCGTTCTCCAATGAGAACGCCCCGTATTAAAGTTATTTTTTAGGCCTTTTGGACAGACTAGAACGGCCCGTTCCAGTTTAATTTTTTTTTCACAGCAAGACTTTTAAGATCGGTTATAAAACAACCGATTTTAAAAGTTAACTTTTAAAATCGGTTGTTTAACCGATTTTAAAATTCTAACTTTTAAAATTGGCTCTTTCAAAATCGTTTACGGAACCGATTTTAAAAATTAAAAATAACCGATTTTAAAAGTTTTTTTTCCACTAGTGTATATAGGAGATGGGGACCACACAAGCTAGGTCCAATAGATCAGCTTTATTACAACACATCCAACACATCATAAATATCAGGCTCTTGACTCGAACATAAAGGTGCGAAGAGTTTGAGTGTTTCATGTTATTTGTCGGTGTACATAAGCAAGAAGGTGTGAAGAGTCTAAGTATCATCATGTGTTTTGTCAACGTGGATAGTCAGTCAAATGAAAACTAATATGATATATAGTCCCTTGGGCTCAAGCATGAAGGTGTGAAGAGTCTGAGTGTCATCGTGTTTTTTGTTGGCATAAATAATCGACTTAGGGGATACTATTACAACACAAAGCCCCTTAAACTTAACCATAAATGTGGAAAAGACATGAATATTGTCATAATTTCTGTCAGTGTAGATAGTCGGTTAAAGAAAGACTAGTACGATATATAAATAAATATTTTTTTGTTTTATTATTTAATTAAGTTAACTTTTAAATTCAAAATCAGATCCAATTTGATTCAATATTCAGAACAACAATTTAAGTTGAAAGAAAATATTATTCTAGTGCAATATTTCATAGTGAAGAAAATTGAGAGGGAAAGAAATCACAACCCCCGTTGCTTCGAAGTTTCATGATTATTAAAATATAAGTAGATGGACGAATTATTTATCCCTTTTGAACACATAAACATATGTACATTAATAAAACAGCTACGAATAAGTTAAATGGAACCGGATTCTATTATACAAAATAATGTTTACATGTTGTAAATAAAATAAAATATAATTGAGAGCGGAAATCATATTAGAAATGGCGAATTAATTTTTGTTACTAAAAATTAGTCAATAACAAAATCCAAGATACTTAAAAAAAATTAAAAAAATAAAACTTAATTATCTCGTATTTAAACTCGGTCCTGAGCATGATTTGTGAAGTGCAACCTTATTGGTCCATGCAAAGAAGGGCCCAAAAACTTGTTAAAATTGATATTTAATAAAACTACATAATACTTTTAATTTCTGTTATTCAATTATTAATTCCAACATTTGAACATTCAATTTTATACTTAAATATCAAAGAAATCTCACTGATTTTTTTTAATATTAAAAGACATGAAAACCGAAATAGTAATACATGTCTTAAGATTTCAAAGAATTTTAAAATACTTCTTTTTTATTATAAGGAAAGTCTTTAAATATTCAATCAATATTTTTTTAAAATAAAAAAGTCATACGATATTTAATTATACGATATTTAGTTAAGACTATCAAATTCTTTTAAGAATATATCAAAACTTTGATAATATTCAATTAAGTCAATTAAGATTTTATTAGGAGTACATCAAAGTCTTGTGATATTTAATTAAGATATTTTTTTACTTAAAAAAATTGACGGTTTAAAAAAAATAAGAGATTTCAATAAATTATTTTGAATGATGAATTTTGTGAGACTTTTTGGCAGAATTAATTTACATATAATTTACTCATCTAACAATATCATCAGAATCTTTGAGATTTTGTATGAATTTTTTCTCTCTTTTTCAATCTTGTCTCTCTCATCTTCTCTTTTTCCCCTCCTTTTCTCTTATTTTCTTAATTTATCTCATCTTTTATTTGTCTTTCTATTCATCTCTCACATTTATCTCTTTTATCTATTTATATTGATGTATAATTTATCAATATTTATTTTTAAATTATTAAATATTTAAAGTTATTTTTAAATTAATAAATATTACCTAATGTTAATTTTTTAAATTATTAAAATTCAACTAATGTTTATTTCAATAAAGTTTAATATCATAATATCAAATTTTGAACATATATTACAAACTATTTTTTTTACATAGTGAAAATTAAGTAATTAAACTTTAATAATTTTGAATTAAATTATTTAATAAAAAATAAAATTTTAAGCATATTAACTTTTAAGTTTTTTCGTCTGAACTAAGAGAAACTTATGGGTTATTCACAATTATATAATAGTGAATACTCAAACTGCAACTTTACAAGTGTGAACTCTACGTTCTATTAAAATTTAATCTATAATTTTTATGATCATTCATTTATTTAAAAATTTTCAATAGTATTCATATATATTACGATTTGAAATTTGAAGGTATTACAATTTTATGGTGTAAAATAAAAATATTTAAACATAAAATTTATGTTAATTGAAAAATAAAAATAATAACCAAAAAAAGATTAAATTTTCTATTTTAAGTTCTAAAAATTCAAATATCAAAGAACTTAAATAAATAAATAAATATATATATATATATATATATATATATATATATATATATTTCAGTAGCACCCCTAACAATGACACTAAAGGGATAACTATTTTTACAATTTTATTTCAATGTTTAAAAAATTTATTTAATTTTCTTGCAAGTCCTTTTATAATTTTTTTCTTGTTGATATTGTTAACGTTGCCATGCTAATTTTATATTTACTGTGTTTTTAATTTAATTTTTGGAATCAGCAAACATTTGAGTGAGTACTCGACTTCAACTTCGACTTTTACGTCCAAACACATTTTTGTTACATTGAGCTTAAACCACTTATATATTTTTTTTTTAATAAATTTTGGTTTTTTAAGTAATAGGTGAGGGAATAATCATACAAGTGGAGAAAATATTTTCTCGATGATAAAAAGTAATACATTGGAGTAAAGAAAACATTGGAGTTAAAGAAAAATTGTAACACACCCTTTTTAAATTTGTTAAAATTGTGTTATTCACTCAGTGACAAGACATATTATTTTTTTAAAATATACTCATATTTAAAATATTAGTTCATAAGAAGCTTTTTTTTTTTTTTTTCTTTTCTTTCTTTTCTATAATTTTGTCCCGGTTCCTAAAATGTCAGGACCACCCTGGTCATATTTTGTGGTTTCCAAATTTTTCATGAGTAAAATTTTCCTCAAACATTGGACCCAAGAACAAAGCCATGCACGTGTTCTAATATACCTAAAACAAAATCATGGGTTTTGTTTACATCGTCGATCCATGCACCTTGCATGGTGAAAAAGAAACATGCATATCTTCCTTAGAAAAACGCGATATATACTTTAAGTATAGAAAACCCAAATCAGCTACGTTCAATGTTCCTAGATCGTATACTCTTACCTTCAGAGTCAATTAATCTCGTTCCATTTACAGCACATTCTAGTCCTCTGCATCTGAGGAATTACCTTATCTGTATCATTCCATAAAATTGCACAATCTTTTGGAAAAGCGAAGCAAATTTCACATTCTCCTACACACATCTGGCTGCGTCGCACCCACTCATTTGCTAATAAGTTTTTTTTTTTTAATCTAATTTTAACTCAGAAATTTTTTTAAAAAATTAAAATATCTAACAAGTAACTATAGTGCATATATAGCAGCAATGGTTTCATTTTACCCTATGTTCTTTCATGGACCAACCTAAGATTACAATGTTAATATTCACAACTATAGCGTTGTTGCTATCACGCGCCGAGGCGATGCGAAAGTGCGGTAATTGCGGTTCGAACCCGGTTCCCTACCCATTAAGCACGGGACCCGATTGTGGCGACCCGTGGTACAAGATCCGGTGCAGCGCGGGTACACTTTGGTTCGATGCACTCGCCGGATCATCCTACATGATCAGGTCCATTGATCCGTTAACCCGCAGGATCATAACCCGACCCGCAACACTCGCACCGAAGACGTGCGTGTCCACGGACTTCCACAGCGAAGGCATGCACCTGAACGAGACCCTTCCCTTTAGCGTGGCTTCGGGTAACACCATATTTCTCTATAACTGCACCGCCCACGCGCCTGCGATGAACTGCGCCGCAAGCAGCGCGTGTCACAAATACGCTAAGGAGCACGCGGAATTCGGCGCGTGCGGGCGCGTGGGCGTGTGCTGTGAGTATAAGAGTGGTGGGGCCCGCAGAGAGTATGCAGTTCTGGTGCACGGCGGAGGGTGCGCGGCGTATCAGAGTTTTGTGGATTTTAACGGCACGGCGGCGGAGGGTGGGGTGGGGATCGAGTGGGTGGCGCCACAGGAACCGGTTTGTAGAACCGCAGTGGATTGCAAAGAATTGGTGAACTCGAAGTGTGGAGTGGGCCCGGGTGGTGGGGTGCAAAGGTGCTTTTGTAATGCTGGTTTTAAGTGGGACCCAGTCAATGGTTTGTGTCAACCTCAAATTCAGAGTAAGCTAATTTTGTGGTTTATTATTTTTTCTTTTAATCAATTTACTATGCTACTTGATAAATTTGTTGAGTGCATGATTGATATTATACTAAAACTACATGGTAAATAAATTCTGAGTATATTTTCATTTTATTTTTTTTATTATGTTATTGTGTGAAATATTTAATGATTAATCTCTTTTAAAAATATTTAATAGGATTTTTGTTTTCCACTACATTTTTCTTTCATAAAGATAAAACTCAAATCCAAAATTTTATATAGGAAATTTAAATTTAGTACTTAGTTTCTGATTAACAACATATGTTGGTATATAATTTATTGAAGTTTAAATATTTTCAATTTATTTTAAAAGTGTAGTCATTTTGGAGTGTGTAATTGGTTATAATTCATTTTAGTAGAAAAGAAAGACATAAGTAAAAAATAAAATAGAGAAAAATAAAAAGAGTAATAAGTAAATAGAAATAGGTAAGAATTAAAGTAAAATTAGGAGTATTTAATTTAAGAGAAATAGAAAAATTGAAAAAAAATATACACGATGAGATTTTTTTTAATTACAACTTTGTAAGAAACATTTTAATTGTTAATAAAAACTACTTATAAAAAAATTACTTAAGTAAACCACTATTATAAGAATTATGTTGTATCTAATGTTTTCATATTTTTTTTTCATTTAAAAAAATTCAAACTTAAATGTAATTATCATGAATAATTTTTTTTGTTTAACTTAGTAAATATTTTTATTTTCAAAATTTTAATATTATAAAAATAATATCAGTTTACCTTTCATTGTTTTAATTTTCACAGCTATTTTTATTGCAATTTTTAAATTCCTTTGTTAATCTAACGGATTCTTTTCTTCTCGATCTTTCAAATTTCCTATCTTTTCTATCAATTTTGCCTAACCAAAATTCAGATAAATTTCCAATTTGTCATCCTAGTTGTTTTATTTTTGTTTTCTAATCATGCAGATACAAAATGCACAGGACATGGAAAAGACAACCACTGCAAAGTTCGGAAGAAAAAGAAAATGCTTCTGGCTGGTACGTGTGTATCATGTAGCACCTCAGTTTATAGGTTTCTTGCTATAAGCTAACAACTAAAAGTTCGGATCTCATACCACATAAGTGTGCAATATTTAGTGTGACAATAAATCCTTCATTTGTGTATCAAATACTTCACATTTTGGTTAAGCAAAATTGATAGAAAAACTTGGAAATAATGCTTGTAAGGCACATTTTGGGGCAATGCCGGTAAGGTCTGCATTGAGATACAAGTCAATCTGTTAAAATAATATTTAACTGATGAAAATTTTTTAGTTGTCAACTTTGCAATATGCGTATTTATGAAAAAATAAACTCTACAAATAATCCAAGAGCCATGTTTAGCATGACTCCTTAAGTTTCACTTTATTCTCTAGTCAGATCCTACATTTCTCTTTGTCAAATGCAATTATGTAGTAACTAACCACTGAATTTTGTGACTTGTTTTCCTAAACTCTTCTATTTCAAACAGTGGTTGTTTCCTTGGGAGGAATAGTATCTATCATAACAGTGATAGGAGCCATTTTCTACAAGAAGCACAACGCAGCAAAGACAAAAAAAAACGAGGCCAAAACCAAAAGAAGAACAGAAATCTCAACCACCAAAGCGAGTGCCTTATCATCAAGAATCTTCACCGGCAGAGAGATAATGAAAGCCACCAACAATTTCGCCCCAGAAAACCTCATCGGCTCCGGCGGTTTTGGCGAAGTCTTCAAGGGAACATTCGACGACGGAACCGTCTTCGCCATCAAGCGTGCCAAGCTCGGAAGCACCAAAGGCATCGACCAAATGCAAAACGAGGTTCGAATTCTGTGCCAAGTGAACCACAGAAGTTTAGTTAGACTCCTAGGTTGTTGCATGGAACTTGAACACCCCATGCTGATATACGAGTACGTTTCAAATGGGACCCTTTTCGATTACCTTCACCGCCACTCTTGTGGCTCCC